TGTGTTTGTGTCTGACTGTGTGTGTTTGTGTCTGACTGTGTGTATGTCTGTCTGACTGTGTGTGTTTGTGTCTGACTGTGTGTGTGTGTCTGACTGTGTGTTTGTGTCTGACTGTGTGTGTGTCTGACTGTGTGTGTGTCTGTCTGACTGTGTGTGTCTGACTGTGTGTGTCTGACTGTGTGTGCATGTTTGTGTCTGACTGTGTGTGTGTGTGTTTGTGTCTGACTCTGTGTGTGTGTTGTGTCTGACTGTGTGTGTTGTGTCTGACTGTTTGTGTGTATTTAGAAGGTGGGGCGGGGGGGAAGGGTTGGGTGGGGGTGGCGCGGGGGGGAGGGGGCGCCTGAGTTTTGTCCTGCCTAGGGCAGCACAAAACCAGGATACACCACTGATGGTAGGCATAAGATATCTGCAGTTTTTACCGCCCTGGATTTATATTATAAACATCCCACTTAGATGGTAGCCCAGAATACTTATACTGGATGTTAACTTGCAAAAATATTGTATTTGCCCTATAAAGGAGCAGGGGGCGTTCACAAACTAGCAGCATCCGATGTAGCAGTAATTTTAAGGCAATGCTAGGTTTAAAGCATTCCAGACGGCCCTTTCATTATGCATAGACTGGTAATATCTTATACTCATTCTTAACTCCAGTTACTATATTTGCATCATTGTATCCTCCCTCCCTGCACTCAGCATTCTGAGCCCTCCCTCCCCCTCCCATCCAGTAAGGAGGAGTCTCCTTGGTGTCACCATCCAGACTCCAGTCTGTGCTGTGACCTCCTGGTGACAATTTACCAGAGACCTCCCTCCTGATCTGAGCCTGCGTTGCAATGGGGGAGCCCACACTTCCTCAATTTAAAGCCCACAGGCCGACAGAAGACAAGGTATTACTGGGAGCAATGAAGGATCTGATTCTGTAGTAAACACAGCATTACAGTGTGTGGGGAACCTATGGGATGGTGGGAGTAGTCTGGAATTCGATTTAGATTTCACAGTGATTCACATTGTTATTCTGAGCCCATGTTAATTCTTCTGAAACATGTATTGTGAACATATAATGGTTATCAGGACAATATACACAGATCTTAAAGCAAACAAATACTTCATATGTGTTTCCACAGATTAAAAGACCTAATATAGAATTAACCAGCATTTATTGGGAGTTTTTGGTCATCAGGAAAACAAGATCTTTATTGCAAGTAGATAAAAGCATGGATTCTGTATTAATAGATGTTTAAATGTTAAATACGGTGGTGTGTTAAAAAGGACATGTTGACATATGATCTGAGATGTTTATGTATGGTAAAAATAAAATAGTAAAATGAATAATTCATGATGCTTCTCAATTGCACCCTGGATCTCATTGATCAGCTACGTTGTATCAGCACAGCTCTATTTAATGGAATACCTTCAAGAAATTTGTCAGGCGACGCTAGATACACTTTGACACAACCTTTTTGTGATCCTTTGGTCCCTTTTTTAATTCTTTGATGATACGTTGTGCCATTTTAAATAATGATACATGCCTTTTATCTTAAAATAAATCCAAGCGCTATGTCCATTTCAAAGTTGTGAAGTGGTTATGGTGCCTTAAGCTTGTATTACAGCATTTCACATCAAAAAGCTGCACAGTTTTGTCACTCTGCTGCCAGAGGTGTAAGTCCACCTCCGACTGCTTTATTGGGCGTCATTAGCGAACCCAGAAAAAGAGCTCTGGATTGTGTAATGCCAATTCTGCCGTCCATGTTCTCCCTTCAGCCCACCCTCCCTGACATCTGTGGGACTCTGTGGAGGAAGATAGGGCTTCAGGGAGAACTTGGTGCTGGAACAAATGTAAATTATAGCGGTTATCCTTATTTTGTTTTTCTTTTTTGTTTTTTTTAGGTTGGGGTGGGGGTGGGGCAGAGTGGAGGGACCAAAGCAGTGTTTTTTTGGTTGGAGTAAACAGCCACTGGAAATCCTGTGTCTCCCCATGTGGGTTTATTCACTGATATGAAAATTGTGCAGCCTAGACTTGCTATGACCATTGATGTCGTTATGGGGCCATGAGGCCCCCAGGTACACTGCATACCTTTTTTATGAATGGGGAGCTACTGATTGGCTTAGAATGCCACCGCTCTAGCCAATCAGCGGTGCCCCTGTCTGGTGGCAATCTGCGCTTCCTGTAACTCAGATTCAGAAGCCGGATGTAGCCTGGGGGACCATAAGATCGTTGCTGGAAGTAACATGTGTGGTTAAACCATTCCAGAATTGTTTAACCCAGGGGTGCCCATAAAGTAGATCCCCAGATGTTAAAACTACAGCTTTCATGATGCTTTGTTGTTCTAAAGCATTCTAAAGGCATGCATAGCAACATGGGCGTTGTAGTTCTACAACATCTGGGGATCTACCTTTAAGGCACGCATGGTTTAAACCCTTAAGGCAAGAGTGCACACGGGGGCCTCCTGGCACCATAACAACTTAATTTAGATGAAGTTGCTATGGTGAGTGGAGTGTCCCTTCAAGTCAAAACAACTGGAGAAAGAGGATAATGTAACATACATTTGCCAGTTATGTAAACCAACAGTTCCGCATTTAGTGAATAAACCATTCTATTATGACCTTTAAATTAGTGAGTTCTGCTCTGTTTTCAGTTTCCGTTAATTTTTGTCTTGTGGTACACTGTCTTTCATATAATAAACGGCTTAGTTTTATCATTTACCCCAATACAAAGCTCACAAATTGTATAGCTTGAACGATACATTTGAATCCAAAGCCTATCCAGGGATATACAGCGCTGCAGTATTTGTTGGTGCTTTAAAAATAATAATAAAAGGCATGCTATGTTCATACAGTCCTTGCTCGTAGCTGTCAGAACCCAGGATAAATATTTATGTTATTGGGACTTTTTTGGTGATTCTATTATTCATAGTAAAATGTGTTTTGCTGTAAATTCCAGAACTTTATGTCTTTTGTTCCGATAGAATGTGGCGAATGGCTGTAGCGATGAAGATGAGCCTTTCCTTAAGAAGAACCCCCGCCGGTTTGTGATCTTTCCAATCCAGTACCCAGACATCTGGAGAATGTATAAACAGGCCCAGGCTTCATTCTGGACCACAGAAGAGGTAAGGTCACTGCCAAAACGCAAAGTACACATTGAAAAGGTCAAACAATAACAAAAAGTCATTAAATGATTTACAGGTGATACTCGAAAAATTAGAATATCGTGCAAAAGTTCATTTATTTCAGTAATGCAACATAAAAGGGGAAACTAATATGAGACAGACTCATTACATGCAAAGCAAGATAGTTCAATCCGTGATTTGTCATAAGTGCGATGGTTATGGCTTACAGCTCATGAAAACCCCAAATCCACAATCTCAGTAAATTAGAATATTGTGAAAAGGTGCAATATTCTAGGCTCACAGTGTCCCACTCTAATCAGCTAAGTAAGCCATAACACCTGCAAAGGGTTTCTGAGCCTTTAAATGGTCTCTCAGTCTGGTTCAGTAGGAATCACAATCATGGGGAAGACTGCTGACCTGACAGTTGTGCAGAAAACCATCATTGACACCCTCCATAAGGAGGGAAAGCCTCAAAAGGTAATTGTGAAGGAAGTTGGATGTTCCCAAAGTGCTGTATCAAAGCACATTAACCCCTTAAAACCGGAGGGTGTACTATAAAGCCCTATTCTGAGCGGCTCTAAAAGCCGCAGGGCGTAATAGTACACCCTCACGGTTTTTCTTACTTACCCGGTCGCCGGTGATCCCAGGGAGTCCCCCGCGGTGGATCCTGCCTCCTCCGGCCCCCCCGGCCATGTGAGAGTGAGGTCCTTGCGAGGACCTCACAATCACATGGCCGGGTTAGCTGGCTGCTGCATTGCCAGCAGGGGGACTGCCTGTAATAACAGTTAGTCCCCCTTCTGGCTGGAAATCAAATAAACAACAGTTAAAATCAGTGTAAATTTTTTTTATTATATATATATATACATACTGTCTAGGTGTATTATAGACTGATACTGATTAAATATATATATATATATATATATATATATATAATTATTGTTATATATATTTATATATAATAAAAAAAATGTAAATACGTTAAAAAATAACAAATATTAAAAAAATATATAGATGTGTGTTATTTCATTCTAACTGTATTGTGATATTAATATATATATATAGATTTAAAGCAAAATACACGTAGAACGAAATAATATATATATCTATATACATAAATATGTACGGATATATATATATAAATAAAAATATTTAAAAAGAATTATATATATAATATATAATAGAAAATAAAGGGAGCACACTAGGACTTCTTCTCAATGGGAAAAAGTAATTTACTGTATCATCAAATAATACATATTCTGTGCAAAGTGCAAAAAAAATCGACGTTTCGACCCGATTTTTTTGCACTTTGCACAGAATATGTATTATTTGATGATACAGTAAATTACTTTTTCCCATTGAGAAGAAGTCCTAGTGTGCTCCCTTTATTTTCTATTATATATTCAACTCGGGATTGCACCTAGGCAGTTTTGATTTTGTTTAATAAGTTACAGGAGGAGTGCCTTGCTTATCTATTTTTTGTGTGTGTGTGTGTGTGTGTGTGTGTGTGTGTGTATGTATATATATATATTTATGTAATATTTTTACATAATTAGGTATTTTAATTAATTACAATTAGCAGGACCTGCATGACAACCCATGCCGAAAGTAAAGGGAATTTAATTTGCTAGCACTATATTTAACCCTATAACTTTCCAAGACACCATAAAACCTGTACATGGGATTACTGTTCTACTCGGGAGACTTCGCTGAACACAAATATTAGTGTTTCAAAACAGTAAAATGTATTACAACGATGATATCGCCAGTAAAAGTGAAGTTTTTTGCATTTTTCACACACAAACAGCACTTACACGGATGATATTATTGCTGCGATACTTTTTACTGTTTTGAAACCCAAATATTTGTGTTCAGCCAAGTCTCCCGAGTACAACAGTGCCCCTCATGTACAGGTTTTATGGTGTTTTCAAAAGTTACAACGTCAAATATAAGGCATGTGTTTCATTTTTTTCACATTAAAATTTGCCCGATTTGGTACGTTGCCTTTGAGACCCTATGGTAGCCCAAGAATGAAAATTACCCCTATGATGGCATACCATTTGCAATAGTAGACAACCCAAGGTATTGCAAATGGGGTATGTTCAGTTTATTTTAGTAGCCACTTAGTCACAAACATTGCCATTTTTTGCATTTTTCACACACAAACAAATATTAACAATAACTTTGGCCAGTGTTTGTGACCAAATGGCTACTAAAAAAGACTGGACATACCCCATTTGCAATACATTGGGTTGTCTACTATTGCAAATGGTATGCCATTATGGGTATAAATTTCATTCCTGGGCTACTATACAGTCTCAAAGGCAACGTAACCAATCTGCCAAATTTCAATTTCAAATGTAACATGCTATATTTGACCCTGTAACTTCCCAAAACACCATAAAACCTGTACATAGGGGGTACTGTTTTACACATGGGACTTTGCTGAATACAAATATGTGTATTTTATTGCAGTAAAAGCAAACAGTATTATGACATTGCCAGTTAAAATGTCATGTAGAACTAAAAAAATAAAAATCTTTTCTCCCATTTTTTTCTATATTAAATTATGTTTCATAGCTAAATATTTGATTTTATTTCCCCTGAATAAAATGATATATAATAAGTGTGGGTGCATTTAATATGAAAGAGGAGAATTACGGTTGGACAGACATGTAGCGCAAATGACAGATTTTGTTTACGTTTTATTTTGTTCACAACGTGTACATTTGGCTCAGTCCTTAAGGGGTTAGTAGAAAGTTATGTGGAAGGGAAAAGTGTGGAAGAAAAATGTGCACAAGCAGAAGGGATGACCGCAGCATAGAGAGGATTGTCAGGAAAAGGCCATTCAAAAGTATTGGGGACTTTCACAAGGAGTGGACTGAGGCTGGAGTCAGTGCATCAAGAGCCACCACACACAGACGGATCCTGGACATGGGCTTCAGATGTCGTATTCCTCTTGTCAAGCTGCTCCTGAACAACAAACAACATCAGAAGCGTCTTACTTGGGCTAAAGAAAACCAGACCTGGTCTGTTGCTCAGTGGTCCAAAGTCTTCTTTTCTGATGAGAGCAACTTTTGCATCTCATTTGGAAACCAAGGACACAGAGTCTGGAGGAAGAATGGAGAGGCACACACTGCAAGATGCTTGAAGTCCAGTGTGAAGTTTCCACAGTCTGTGTTGATTTGGGGAGCCATGTCATCTGCTGGTGTTGGTCCACTGTGCTTCATTAAGCCCAGGGTCAATGCAGACACCCACCAGGAGATTTTGGAGCACTTCATGCTTCCTTCCGCAGATGAGCTTTATGGGGATGCTGACTTAATTTTCCAGCTTGGCACCTGCCCACACTGCCAAAAGCACCAAAGCCTTGTTCAATGACCGTGGGATTACTGTGCTTGATACGCCAGCAAACTCGCCTGACCTGAACCCCATAGAGAATCTATGGGGCATTGCCAAGAGAAAGATGAGAGACATAAGACCGAACAATGCAGAAGAGTTGAAGGCCGCTATTGAAGCATCTGGTCTTCCATAACACCTCAGCAGTGCTACAGGCTGATAGCTTCCATGCCACGCCGCATTAAGGCAGTAATTGCTGCAAAAGTGGCCCAAACCAAGTACTGAGTCCATATGCATGCTTATACTTTTCAGAGGTCTGATATTGTTCTATGTACACTCCTTGTTTTATTGATTGCATGTAATATTCTAATTTACTGAGATTGTGGATTTGGGGTTTTCATGAGCTGTAAGCCATAATCATCGCACTTATGACAAATCACGGCTTGAAATATCTTGCTTTGCATGTAATGCGTCTATCTCATATATTAGTTTCCCCTTTTATGTTGCATTACTGAAATAAATGAACTTTTGCATGATATTTTAATTTTTCGAGTATCACCTGTATTTCACATTGATATAAACCTTTTTGACATTTATGTGGTTGTTTAAGAAACCGAATCAATCCTGCTAACCCACACAAATATATTGTAGACAATTGTCTAACTGCTTGAAAATGGTTAAATAAAAGCAGGAGGCACTGAACGCATAACTTCTAGCTGCTACAAACGGCTTAGTGGTTATGGTGCTTAGTGTGTTTTGACATTTTTTTTTTTTTTTAACAGAATGTATCAGTATTTCTTTCCTGTTTTGTCTGGTGGCCCAGGAAACTGTCCCTAGTATTGCACCTGCCATTTCAATGTAACTGCTATTATGGGACATGAAGCCACAGTTATATAACTGCTGTTCCTAGCACATCCTCTGTGGTGAAGCCATAACCTCAAAGGGATCTCCAGCAACAGGTGTGAACATCAACAGCAAGATGAGTCACGGGTTACATTTAAAGCGTTACCATGATGCTTTGCCATATTGTTTGTTGTCTTATTTGTTTAACCTTAATGACCAAGGTTTGTCCAAGATTCTGTGTGTTTGTGACCGAGGACATTTTGGCCCTTCAGGTCCTTGTTTGTTCTACTATAATTTAACTCTTGTTGATTGTCTTCCTGGTCTGTCTTCCTGGTCTATCTAGTCTATCCTGTCTATTTTTTTTTTTTTTTTTTTTTAAAGGACAGGTAAGCCATTCTTATAAGTAAAGATACAGCAGAAGTAAGGGGATATTTTAAGCACCTAAACAACTTCAGCTAAAAGAAACACTGTAGCGTTAAGAATATGCCCGTTGTCATTTAGGTGTTCCCCCAACACATAAAAGAAAATAATCTAAATAAATAAAAATCAAATTAATTACTCACATTTTCTTAAGTCGGCACTGCCAGGACCTCCACCACAGCTTGAGTCATTCTGGAGGTGTCTTTCCAGGAAGACAGGCCAATCCAATGCTCCTCATAAAGGAGCACTGGGGAATATAGGAGCATGTAACGAACCCCTTGTACTTTGTATTGTACGTTTGTTCACACTCTGCGGAACTCTTAGAAGGTTATGTGAATACAGCCTGTTCGCATGGTACGCTAATTCGTACTCCAAGAGTGGAGAAAATCAATTGCTTCGTCATTCGCATATCCAAATATAAGTCGAGACTTGATGAAGGGTACAACTGGAATGCTTTATTATGTCCAGATGGTCCACTTTTATACACAGATCCCCAACAGGGAACTTCAGCAAAAATATAGGTAAAACACACCCAGGCGTCTCTGTGGCTGGGAGATAATTGAGTGTACTTTGCTTAAACTAATTATCTTCCAGACACTAGAGGTACAGAGTATAAAACATAAAATACTCCAAAACATATACAATATTACAAGGGACCCCCACAAGTCCTATGTCCCTGGATAGCCTGGATCTAAGCACCCAAAGTGTCCAAATAGTGCTCAGATCCCATAAATACAGCCGAATCGCCACCAGGGTAAAGTTTTGACCGACCGCACACGTGGCGTCTGCCCAAAATAGTTCCAGAGGAAAGGTGGTAGCGGTCCCAAAACGAAAAAAATCCCGAACAGTTCCCCTGGCTCATAGGTAGCGATTGTTCGTCTAGTTCGTGCGTACCTTTTCACTGAATAGCGCTCTCCTGGCTTGTCGGGATTAGAAGCAGGCGTTGGTACAAAGTTACCAGTGTTTGTGGGTTAGAGTGTCCGGCTTGGAGTTCCAGACACTCGACGACCAAGTACCGCTGCCTGCCTAGCTGAGAGGGGAGGCACACTCAGGGACAGCCTCGGGCTGCAAAAGCTCTAGCTGCGCCACTGCAACCATTAGATGCTGTCCTAACCCTGCAATGTAAACGTTGATGATATGAAGTGGTCTAGGTGCCTATAGTGTCCCTTTTTTAAAGATCATGTTTCCATATTTCTCCCAGCAGTATGTGTATTGAGCACACATGCACAAATTACTGTACAATTGAATTAATTCATTCCCGTATGGTGTAAATCCAGAATTTTGTTTAGTTTAATGTTTTGGGTCACTTAGGAACTTTTTTGTTCAACCAGAATGTCAAAAGTTAGTCAGCCACTAGGGTCGATTGTTAATATTAAATTCATATCATATAGATAAATCAGTAGTTATTGTCATAAATTCACCTTAAAGACTTTGACGTTAGTGAAGTAAGTGCATTTTAATTAGACCAAAAAATTATCCTTATTTTCTCATTAAAATGTAGAATGTTAAAGGCAAAAATATTTAGTCAATTAATCTTTTTGAAAAAAATTTTATTTCAATTTTCAGGTTGATTTGTCCAAGGATCTTGCTCACTGGGATCAGCTGAAATCGGAGGAGAAAGATTTTATTTCCTATATATTGGCTTTCTTTGCTGCTAGTGATGGGATTGTAAATGAAAACCTGGTATGTTTTACATGTTAACCTTTTACCAGGCAAAAAGAAGAATGTTAAAACAAGCGTTTGTGATTTCAAAGGCTAACAAACAGGGTTATCCAAAAAAAAACAAAAAAAAACCCAGGAATTCTAAAGAAGTAATTTGTAAATTTTATGACACAATGGCTTAGGAGAAAATCATCTGAGTTAGTTAATGTTTTCCATTTTGCTATTTTGGGCTAAATCTATGAATTCCTCATAATTCCCAGTTTATTGAATATCACTATGAGGGATGATATGTGAATGTGCTACTTAATAAAGGATGGCAAATGTCTGTAATGGGCTTCAGTGGAAGTAGGGATGCTGAAAGTATAGCTGATGTGGAAAAGTGTCCAGTTTTGGCTATTTTGGTATTTGATTTGAAATTCACTTTGTATTCCTGTAAGTTGTCACTGCAGCGGATAACCCTATATGAGGCATGATATTGAGACAAGAGGTGAGGTAGTCAAAGTTAAAATGAATGATCAGTTAGGTAGGTAGGTAGCTAGGTAGGTAGAACCTACTGTTTTCGACAATAGAGATTGTAAGTGAAGATCTGTCTGTCATAGTACAGAGTGTCCCAGTGTCCCCGCCCAGATTTGATGTTTGTTTTCAGTATTATATGGGAAGTCCTACAGATATATAAAAGTAAAACAATAATTTTGTTGTAATACTACACATATATCAAAGATTTTTAAAACAAGAAAAATATGCACCAACAAATGTAATAAAATGACCTTACCTGCAATCTGCATTGGTGGTTTGAGTCAATGCCACAACTGCCATCCAATAAAATGATCCCATAAGTTCTCCCATGTGCTCTATAACATTACTGCCATGGGGCAATTCATCAAATATTAGCATTCAGGACTGGGATAGTGTGTGAAGGTGGAAACAATTTACAATGTTCCAAAAATACTAAACTCTGCAGGTAAGTGGTAATCCGTTTCTGTGAACAGAATAAGAAGCGTATTAACTGTTATCAAACTGCCTGAGTTTAACTTGGAACGGTGAATTTAAGATTTAAAGGGACACTATAGTCACCAAAAAAACTACAGCTTAATGTAGTGGTTCTGGTCTCTATAGCCTGTCCCTGGCGGCTTTTTAATGTAAACACTGCATTTTCAGAGAGAAGGCAGTGTTTACATTACTGCCTAGTTAGGAACACCTCTAGTGGCAGTCACTCAGAGGTGCTTCCTGGGTCGGTACTGGACAGTGTGAATAGAGACGCTGAATGCACCCTATATAGATGCACTGATTCTCTATTAGAGGATATGCTGATTGGCATAGCACGTCCTTTTGTCGTGCATGTGCAATAGCCTCCCATTGCTCTCCTACAGGGGAATGTCATTATGTACAAAGCGCCCCTCTGTGAGTAGGCATTGTGGGCTATTATACTCCAAACTTCGAAATTAATATAATCAGTACATTTGTTGGTAATCTTGGTGAAATGTATGTATTGAGTTTTTATAAAATGCCTGAAACAGAACTCATCATGTATATATGTGGAAAAAACAAAAAAGTTGGATACCCCAAAAGGGGAAACAACTAGGTGTGTGTCTAGGGGCGGCCAAAATAGGGGATAACCCTCACGTGTATTAATTTGAAAGACAGACCTGATAGGTCAGGAGAAACAGGGCGCCCCCTGGTGAATACTTATATATATATATATATATACAAAGGAGGTAAAACATAACCTTTAATTGTTGCTGTAATAAAAAAATACTCTAACAAAAAACTTAGAAAAAATGTGTATTTAAATATTTTAAAATTAGGAGGATATATGCCTGGAAGGGGATAATTAACCTGAGGAAATCACCTAAAGGATATCAAGCTGAATAAAGCTGCAAATCCCCCCAACCAGTATAGTACGTCTCTCAGTAATGGTACCTCTAAAACTTGCCAAGATAAAGAGAAACAATTCCTCTATGCTTGCTGGATGGATTCTTATCTCTTTTACCACTAACTGAAATAAAATCCAATAGGGTAAGAAAGTAGCAAATGTATATATCCTTGTGAGCAAATTTGTAGCAAGAAATAGTAGAGAAGGTCCATTAACTGTGTGATCATCCACTAGTCTAAATACGATAGCTAGATAGATACAGTGTGATAGATATCGTAACAATATTGTACGCCCGTCACTGAGGGATTGAGGAATGGGGGAAAAAAGGCAACTATATTCTAGTCAGTAATGCTGGAGGAAGCTATCACATAATAAGCTTGACTGTATCTGGTAGAAAAAGTAGCCCCGTCGCCCATATCCTCCCCACCCCTTCTAGTGAATCGTATTGGAATTCTATCTAGCTAATCATCAGGAGAGACTAAACTAGTCGGCGTCCAGGTACAGAAATATCCTGCCTGCTACCTAACACGTGTTTCGGCGCTGCTAACGCGCCTTCTTCTGAGGCTAAACAGGTGATCGGAGCATCGGTGACTCCTTAAATAGCCCTTTAAACTCAGTTCATAATGGGGGCGTGTGCAGTGCGTTCGCGCCAAAATTGGCCGAACGCAATCCAACCCCGCCCCCAATGACGATCCAGCCTCTGATTGGTGAGTGTAGGTTGATTGAACAAAACCTCCGTTGACCCTATAGGTGCCAATCTTACGTGGCTACTGGGTAGCATGCAGCATTTGCCGCATAGATAATTCTGAGGTATAAGAGACCCATCGCCATATTAGTGATTTATAAGGGAGGGGTGTACAGTCAGTGTAGGACTTAGAAAGGCTTATGAATCCACAGGAGTTCGATAGAATCATTACCATTGTCATAGTGGAATACTAGGTGGGAGTCCAATTAATAATTGAACATGAATTGAGACCAGAAAGTAAGCCAATCTCTGGAGAGAGATCCTATTGATTATAGAGTCCTTGCAGAATCCAGTTAATTATTAGACATGGATTAAGACTAGATAACAAATAAGCCGATCTCTAAGGAGAGATCCTATTGATTGTGCTATCCTTATATATCCAGAATAGCACACCTAGACATTAAGGTTAAATGTCAAAATACTGGATCAAGAGTCCAGTCAGTTACTAGAACTAGGCTAGAGCTGGATAGTAAGTAAACCGATCTCAGATTATGTAAGTCCTGTTGATTACACTGTGCTGATGGATAAATGAAGTTATAAACGAGTGTGTATATATAGGGTCAGATGGATCACCGATGCATAAAACAAAATAAATAAAGGACAAAGAAAAAAGTGTATACAGTCTAAATAATTATTATGTACATATATAATACAATTACATTAATATAGTTCCTTAGTGTTACTATTTTTCAATGAAGGGAGTAAAAGTAAACCCCTCATTTAAACCATTGGGGGCCAAAGTTTTGAACCTATAGATCCAGTAGCACTCTCTTTTAAGGAGGGTGTGATCCAAGTCACCGCCCCTACGGCCTAGGGTCGCTTTTTCAATCCCTGCGAACCTAACCACTTCGGGATCCCCACAGTGTTGATTTCGTATATGTCTCGCCACAGGGGTGTCCCTTTGGTTCCTCACAGAATGTATGTGCTCCATGATACGTCTTTTAAAGGGGCGGATTGTTTTACCCACGTATCTGAGGCCACATGTGCAGATCAAGAGATAGACTAAACCTTTGGTATTGCAATTAAAAAATTGTTTAACATTACAGACCACTTGACCACATGAATCTGTGAGGTGTTTAGAATCTTTACAGATGTACCTACAAGCCACACATTTGCCACATTTGTAAGTACCCTGTACAGAAAGCCAGTTGTGACCTGGCTTAGTAGAGGAGAAATGACTGGGCACAAGTGCCTCCTTTAAATTCCTTCCTCTACGTGCTGTAAGGGATACATAAGGGGTCACAGTCCCTTTGAGATGGGGATCTTGGGATATAAGTGGCCAGAATCTTCCCAGTATATTTTTCGCCTGATCCCAGCCTGAGTCAAAATTAACAATGCAACGAATAGGTGCTTGTTCATTAGGGATCGGTTTATCCTTGAGGAGTTCCATTCTATCGCTGTATAGCGCTCTTTGATATGCTTGCTTTAAACAGCGGTTAGGATATCCTCTTTCTTTAAACCTGGTTTTAAGTGACTTGGCTTGAGTAATAAAGTCCTCCATGCTAGAGCAGTTCCTCCTCAACCGGAGGTACTGTCCAACAGGAATGCCTCTCTTTAATGTGGTTGGGTGATGACTTTCCCACCTCAGCATAGTATTTGTTGAGGTGGGTTTCCTAAATAATGTTGTCTCAATGGTCTGCTTAGAAGTGGTACTAAACGTACAGTCGAGGAAATTGAGGGACGAACCCCCTATTTCCATTGTGAACTTCAAATTGAGGTCATTAGAGTTCAAGTTCTCTACAAAGGTCACAAAGCATTCCCTTGTTCCCGTCCATACCACAAGGACGTCATCTATATACCTCTTCCACATAAAGATGTATTTGGTGTATTCAGTGTTTGTATCGGTGAAAACCACATTCTCCTCCCACCAGCCCAGGTGCAGGTTAGCGTATGATGGGGCACAAGATGTACCCATGGCTGTACCCTGCACCTGGTGGTAGTATTGGCAATCAAATAAGAAGAAATTGTGGGTCAAGACAAATTGCAGCAGATCCAATACAAATAAAGTGTGGCGTTGATGTTCGGATCCCCGTGTTTCCAAGTAATGTTTAATGTGTCTCAGCCCCAGGGAGTGTGGAATGGAAGAGTACAATGCCTCCACATCGAGGCTACATAAGATGGCATCTCTTGGTAGACTGATGGAGGTTAGGCATTTCAAAGTATCCTTCGTATCCCTAAGGTAAGAAGGTAGCTTTTCTACGAAGGGACGAAGGATCTTATCTAGGTAGATACTGGCCTTACATGTTATGTTATTGGATCCGGACACAATGGGTCTAGCTGTCAAGTTGTCATAGTGCTTATGCACCTTTGGTAGACAGTAGAATGTGGACACGGTCGGACTTTTGACATAGATGAATGTATACTCATCTTTGCCCAGGACTCCATCATCAAACGCCTTATCTAAAAGATGTTTCAGGGCCGACAAGAATTTAGCTGAAGGGTCTGTAGGTAGTACTTTGTAAGTGGTACTGTCTTTGAGTATATTTAGAGTTAGTCGTATATACTGTGTTCTACTTAGTACCACAATATTCCCCCCCCTTGTCAGCCGGCTTGATGATAATGTCATCATTGTTTTGTAAGTCACAGAGGGCCTGCCACTCATTTCTAGACCGATTACTGTGTGGTCGGGGTTGGAGGGAGTCCATCCTTAGCTCATGTAACATGTTACAGGTTGAGTCCACGAACATATCAATGTTCTTAAAATCTTTGATGTTAGGGGTAAACTTGCTTTTATGTCGTAGGTCGGTATAGGGCAACGTGACTAAACCATGTGACTAAACCATGAGAATGTGGTTTTCACCGATACAAACACTGAATACACCAAATACATCTTTATGTGGAAGAGGTATATAGATGACGTCCTTGTGGTATGGACGGGAACAAGGGAATGCTTTGTGACCTTTGTAGAGAACTTGAACTCTAATGACCTCAATTTGAAGTTCACAATGGAAATAGGGGGTTCGTCCCTCAATTTCCTCGACTGTACGTTTAGTACCACTTCTAAGCAGACCATTGAGACAACATTATTTAGGAAACCCACCTCAACAAATACTATGCTGAGGTGGGAAAGTCATCACCCAACCACATTAAAGAGAGGCATTCCTGTTGGACAGTACCTCCGGTTGAGGAGGAACTGCTCTAACATGGAGGACTTTATTACTCAAGCCAAGTCACTTAAAACCAGGTTTAAAGAAAGAGGATATCCTAACCGCTGTTTAAAGCAAGCATATCAAAGAGCGCTATACAGCGATAGAATGGAACTCCTCAAGGATAAACCGATCCCTAATGAACAAGCACCTATTCGTTGCATTGTTAATTTTGACTCAGGCTGGGATCAGGCGAAAAATATACTGGGAAGATTCTGGCCACTTATATCCCAAGATCCCCATCTCAAAGGGACTGTGACCCCTTATGTATCCCTTACAGCACGTAGAGGAAGGAATTTAAAGGAGGCACTTGTGCCCAGTCATTTCTCCTCTACTAAGCCAGGTCACAACTGGCTTTCTGTACAGGGTACTTACAAATGTGGCAAATGTGTGGCTTGTAGGTACATCTGTAAAGATTCTAAACACCTCACAGATTCATGTGGTCAAGTGGTCTGTAATGTTAAACAATTTTTTAATTGCAATACCAAAGGTTTAGTCTATCTCTTGATCTGCACATGTGGCCTCAGATACGTGGGTAAAACAATCCGCCCCTTTAAAAGACGTATCATGGAGCACATACATTCTGTGAGGAACCAAAGGGACACCCCTGTGGCGAGACATATACGAAATCAACACTGTGGGGATCCCGAAGTGGTTAGGTTCGCAGGGATTGAAAAAGCGACCCTAGGCCGTAGGGGCGGTGACTTGGATCACACCCTCCTTAAAAGAGAGTGCTACTGGATCTATAGGTTCAAAACTTTGGCCCCCAATGGTTTAAATGAGGGGTTTACTTTTACTCCCTTCATTGAAAAATAGTAACACTAAGGAACTATATTAATGTAATTGTATTATATATGTACATAATAATTATTTAGACTGTATACACTTTTTTCTTTGTCCTTTATTTATTTTGTTTTATGCATCGGTGATCCATCTGACCCTATATATACACACTCGTTTATAACTTCATTTATCCATCAGCACAGTGTAATCAACAGGACTTACATAATCTGAGATCGGTTTACTTACTATCCAGCTCTAGCCTAGTTCTAGTAACTGACTGGACTCTTGATCCAGTATTTTGACATTTAACCTTAATGTCTAGGTGTGCTATTCTGGATATATAAGGATAGCACAATCAATAGGATCTCTCCTTAGAGATCGGCTTATTTGTTATCTAGTCTTAATCCATGTCTAATAATTAACTGGATTCTGCAAGGACTCTATAATCAATAGGATCTCTCTCCAGAGATTGGCTTACTTTCTGGTCTCAATTCATGTTCAATTATTAATTGGACTCCCACCTAGTATTCCACTATGACAATGGTAATGATTCTATCGAACTCCTGTGGATTCATAAGCCTTTCTAAGTCCTACACTGACTGTACACCCCTCCCTTATAAATCACTAATATGGCGATGGGTCTCTTATACCTCAGAATTATCTATGCGGCAAATGCTGCATGCTACCCAGTAGCCACGTAAGATTGGCACCTATAGGGTCAACGGAGGTTTTGTTCAATCAACCTACACTCACCAATCAGAGGCTGGATCGTCATTGGGGGCGGGGTTGGATTGCGTTCGGCCAATTTTGGCGCGAACGCACTGCACACGCCCCCATTATGAACTGAGTTTAAAGGGCTATTTAAGGAGTCACCGATGCTCCGATCACCTGTTTAGCCTCAGAAGAAGGCGCGTTAGCAGCGCCGAAACACGTGTTAGGTAGCAGGCAGGATATTTCTGTACCTGGACGCCGACTAGTTTAGTCTCTCCTGATGATTAGCTAGATAGAATTCCAATACGATTCACTAGAAGGGGTGGGGAGGATATGGGCGACGGGGCTACTTTTTCTACCAGATACAGTCAAGCTTATTATGTGATAGCTTCCTCCAGCATTACTGACTAGAATATAGTTGCCTTTTTTCCCCCATTCCTCAATCCCTCAGTGACGGGCGTACAATATTGTTACGATATCTATCACACTGTATCTATCTAGCTATCGTATTTAGACTAGTGGATGATCACACAGTTAATGGACCTTCTCTACTATTTCTTGCTACAAATTTGCTCACAAGGATATATACATTTGCTACTTTCTTACCCTATTGGATTTTATTTCAGTTAGTGGTAAAAGAGATAAGAATCCATCCAGCAAGCATAGAGGAATTGTTTCTCTTTATCTTGGCAAGTTTTAGAGGTACCATTACTGAGAGACGTACTATACTGGTTGGGGGGATTTGCAGCTTTATTCAGCTTGATATCCTTTAGGTGATTTCCTCAGGTTAATTATCCCCTTCCAGGCATATATCCTCCTAATTTTAAAATATTTAAATACACATTTTTTCTAAGTTTTTTGTTAGAGTATTTTTTTATTACAGCAACGATTAAAGGTTATGTTTTACCTCCTTTGTATATATATATATAAGTATTCACCAGGGGGCGCCCTGTTTCTCCTGACCTATCAGGTCTGTCTTTCAAATGTATATATGTGGACAGCAAAGTTCTGCTTAAGAAATGTGTTATTATTTACACTGAAGATAATGTCTATTCTTCAGGTTGAACGGTTTTGCCAAGAAGTCCAGGTTCCAGAGGCTCGCTGCTTTTATAGCTTCCAGAATCTGATCGAGAACATACACTCGGAGATGTACAGCCTGCTCTTAGAGACCTATATTAAAGATCCACAAAAACGGTAATTGGATGTGAATTTCCTTTCTCAAATTATAAACATTTCCATGCGACTATTCTGCCGGTTGAAAAGATTTCTGAATGACTGTAATTCAGTAAATTATAAAAAAAAATGTAATCATTATTTGTATTGCCATATGACAGTTCAGTCGGTTTAAAAGATTTATGAATTATTGTAATTCAGTAAATTATTGGGGTTTGCTTTTTTTTTCATTAAACATTTGTTTTTGTGAATCTGCAACAAACTTGCAAAATTCTGGTCAATAAAATTGTTCATAAAAAAAAAATCAGGAAGAGCCAATAAAACCAAAACAAAAACTTGATGAGCCATTTGAAAACATGTCATCTTGATACTTTCAATCCGTCAGAATTTAACTACAATTGACATCACGGCCAGCAAACAACAAAAAAATAAATCTGCATATATACATTTATTACACAAATAGCAGCTGCCAGTCTCATGTCATTTTCAAATTTATTTATAAAATATTTTACCAGGAAAGATACATTGAGATTTCTCTCGTTTTCAAGTATGTCCTGGGTCTTGGTAAAATAAATGTCAAAATAAGAAAGTTGCATGACTTTCACTATTTGAACTCTATTTTGTATTTTGTCAAACTGAAGCATCACTCTTTCTTCCGTATTTATTAATGCAATGCTTTTAACCTTTTTTGATGTGGGCCCAGTCAAACTACATGGCATTAGATTGGCGATCATTCTTCAATGATACAATTACCTCAATTACTCATTATTCAACTGTTATGTAACATACAAAATGAATTCAGAAAAAACCCTGCATTGGACTCTAGGTTAGCCATGCATCATACATTTAGAACAACGGAGAACAGAGCAGGCTCATCAAGTGTTCTTTTACGCAGGGTCTGATATGTTTTTTGTCTTTATTTCAGAGATTTCTTTTTTAATGCAATTGAAACTTTGCCCTGTGTTAGAAAGAAAGCAGAGTGGGCCATTCGGTGGATATCTGACCGGAGAGCTACCTTTGGTAATGGATACAACTGTTTTTATTAGGTGGCCAGGCAAAGAAGATAGTGGTCAACATATTGATTTTATTCAGATTAATTGTATTATGTCACATTTTCTTGTACAAAATAATCTGTTAGTTAAAACTCATTAAATTAGTTTGCACTCTATCCTGTACAACTTTAAGGTCATAGGTCACTTATTTTGGCAGCCATCTTAGTTTGTTGCACAATCTTCAAACATCTTCCTCACCAGAACTTATTTTGCTACATATATACAAATAGCCATATGAGGCAATGCTGTGACCTATATATAAATTAATTCAACACATGTCAATTAGTCATGTGGTTTGATGGCCATGTTAGATCAAACCTTTAAAAAATAAATATGTACTCAGAAGCCATTTGTTAGAAATGCAACATTTAGGTCACATGTCCACAGCTAGATCTTCTACCAAGATACCAAAGTATGTTGATATCAAAAGCAAGATGGCTGCTAAAAGACTGTTACCTTTGTTGTGTCTTAGAACTCCATAGGGGATAGGCAACCTTCAGCACTCCAGATGTTATGGACTACATCCCCCATAATGCTCTGACACACATAATGCTGGCAAAGCATCATGGGAAGTGTAGTCCAAAACATCTGCAGTGCCGAAGGTTGAGTATGCCTGGATAGGGCTTAGAAACAAGAGGAGAGAGAGAGATGGTCCATCTATCTCTTCCCTCTGTTTTAAAGTTCTTACTGTGTACCTCGTTATGCTACCCTGTATCATTTTCCTTAATTATGAGATACGGATACGGAGGGAATTTTTATCCTGGAAGGAGAGGTTGACTCCCCATTAGTGACATATATTTATCTGACATATATTAATCTCAAGGATCTCTTCTTGTCCTCTCTATTGACAGTTTTTAGTGCACTATCAGTATAAAGTCTTTGTTTGAGTTTTCTTTTTTTTTTTTTTTTTTTTGCTGATCCCTAATTGGTCAATAAAAGTTAGGGCTTCCTCTTTTCATTTTATACTGTTCTCCCTTCTGTGGTTCCTTCTTGTTTAAAGGATCCAAAGGGTTTGTTTTTTTAAGTCTATCAACAAGAAATTCGGTCTTCGTTTCATTCGTTGTAATTTGTATTTGTTCATTCTTCTTTTGGACGAATGGATGAAATGCAGATAAAAATGTGCTCACCTGAAAACGAATACCCAAGTCTATTGTGGATAATTCACTTTTAATATATAATAGCTACACCCTTCCATTACCACAGGTATAACCATTAAGATTCCCTATTCCTATAAAGAGGAATGTATTTGTTTGTTTGTTATCTCCAAATTTGTAAATATTTTTGTGTATCTTATTATTTTCGCAAGGATGAACCTGTAATGAAAATATTATCTTACCATAAATCGCTCCTATATACATTGAATATGTCAACATATGTCACAAAGATTCATGAAGTATTCAATGTCAATTATATAGATTTACTTACCTCTCCTAATTGGGGACGCAGGCACGCTGGCTTAATTGCCAGCATTGGAATAGAGTATTGTCGAGTCACTCAGTTCCTAAACTTCCTAGCTGGTGCTAAGGAGTTTCCATAACAACCACAGTGTATGCGCTGTTGTTGCTATGCTTGGGAGAGTCAAAGGACCTTATGTGTTCAAGGATCAAAAAGACCTCCTGCTTGCCCTTGTCTGTAAGTGCCTCGGAATTGAGTATCTGCTGAGGCATTGGCTGAGAACTCAGAGAAACACCTATTTTTAAATAGGTTTTTCATCCAAAGTATACATTTGCTAGCAACTGCTAGCAAATAGTATAGACAGAATCTTATGCTCTTTCATAGGAGCATAAATTAAAAAATGACTAAAGGTCATAATGGAAAAGGGTTTATTGTTCCATTCGATGAACGATAATAGAGGCTTTTCAGTTTGTTTGGTTTCCGAAGGTTATTCCCTCAATTAACCCTTGAAATCTATTGTATCCACGCTATGTTATAGTTTATGTAAATCTTTAAAAAAAAGTGAATGGTATATTTCATCCTTTCTGTAATGGAACTTGTTTCAGTTATTATGATTGGACATTGTTCTCTGATCACATGTTTTGATGTGTTAATATCAGGCGAGAGGGTGGTGGCTTTCGCTGCAGTAGAAGGCATCTTCTTCTCGGGATCTTTTGCTGCTATTTTCTGGTTAAAGAAAAGAGGTCTTATGCCTGGACTTACATTTTCCAATGAGCTTATCAGCAGGGATGAGGTGAGATATTGGTAACATCTCTTATAAATATAAAATTCATTCTTTAGTCATGGCACAAATTCTGAACAAAAATATTTTGAATACTGCAAAGCTTAACCAAGTTTTGAAGGATTCAGTATTTACAAGACAAACTAACAATAAAAAGAGTTTGTATTAATTTAAACCTATGGATTTTGGAACCTTATGAGACCTTTCCTGGTGGAGTTTCTATGTATTTCTGACTTTAATAATTCAGTCTGTGCATAGACACTTCTAATAAAGTCTGTGCAGCCTATGTGATGATGGTAAAAAATGTCCCATTCCTGTGTAAGACTGAAAGAGGATATAGCTATTATTTAAAAACTCTATTTAGATCGTGACTCAGTATCGTCATAGGTGAATCAGTCTATCTGCCCGCACAGTGACACAGAGTACCTCATATGTAGGTAATTGACATTAGCTCCTATCATGGCACAATGTCCCTCATACATAAATCAGTCCATCTACCTCCATCCACAATGACACAGAGAACCTCATATATAGGTGCCATCAGCCTGCATCATGACACAAAATATCTCATAGGTTAAAAAAAGTCCATCTGCACCCACACTGACACAGTGTATCACATTGGTAAATTAGTGAATTAGCCTACACTATAGCACAACCTGTATTGTCCCACACCCACAATTACTCAGAATGTCACCTGGAGTCTTGTTTGGATTACCTTGGTATTGGGGGAGGTGGAGGAGTATTGTTCTCTTCTATTGTTCTTGTGATATGTTATTGTTTGTGTTGATATACTGCTCTGATAGATGAGTTGCTAAGGGTTTGGCACGGTAGTCTACCTTACTGAGTGAATCGCTATTGTGTTTACTGTGCTTTTTAATTAAAGTCCTTTCTCTTTGATTTACAGGGTCTTCACTGCGATTTTGCATGTCTGATGTATCATTACTTGGTGAATAAACCCACAGAGGAACGTGTCAGGGAGATCATCACTGATGCAGTCAGGATTGAACAGGTAACTCCAGATGTCCTGTAAACTCCATCCTATCGATTGATTACTTTCATACTGGCATAGATTCTCACTCTCTTGATTGTAAAGTTATATTGATTTTCTTATGGAGTTTATTACTAATCAATTGCCACACTTTCACTCCATTACAAAACCTACATCAGCAGGAAATGTACACAGACTGATTTGAGCGTAATAAAAATAAAGGGTATAATAGTATCTCTTTTAGTACGACTCTTCTAGTGTCAAAAAGGTTAAAAACAAAGCAAGGTTGTTCGTAATCTTAATGAGAGAAACTTCACTCAAAAAAAAATCTTATATGAATTACTTGTAGTTTTGGCCAGTTTTTTTCCAGTCGAAAAACAGATCATTAAATTTTTTAACAAATATAGAAGTCATCGTCTCTTAGCCACGCAGTGATACATGTTCTCGTTATGTACCTGTTCAGCAATTTATCTCGTTAGATGACAAAATCTAAACTAAAATTGTATAAAAAATAAATAAATCTCCATCTTAGCCAAGAAGGAAACATTGCCCAAATTTTGCAACTGTGTTATGTGCTTCATATAACAAGGATTTAAAGCGACCCCTTCAAACACCATCTGTTACTTCTAGGAGTTTCTAACAGATGCTTTACAAGTGGATCTGATCGGAATAAACTGCACATTGATGAAGACATACATAGAGTTTGTAGCTGACCGACTGCTGGCGGAACTGGGTTATTCAAAGGTGAGCAATACAATGGTTATGCATTTTTTTCCTTACTCTTTTTCTTAATTTTAAAAATTCCAATATGTATGCCATTTCAATTTGCAGTGGATACAGGGGCTAGTTGCAACCTGTTTTGTGCCTCCCTTAATCTTTTTTAAGTCTATTAAGCTTTAGAGCACTGTTTGACAGATTCCCCGGTGTTTATGATGAACCACATTGTTTAGTTTGTTAATTTAAATTCTGTATATTATTGAATAATATGGCTAGATTTTGTAAAAACTAGTTCATGTTTTATACGGTATATATTATACCCCTATTTCATACTTTCCTTCAAGACCTCAATTTAATATTTTTGGAGAAGCTTTTCAAATGATTTAAAAGAACAATATAGGGTCAGGAACACAAACATGTATTCCTGACCCTCTAGTGCAAAACCCACCATTTAGGCAGCTTGCCCCGCCTTATTTCCAGGCCGGCGCGGGTCCGCTAACGCTGACCCCGCCCCCGATCCACCTCCTTAGTGACAATCAGAATTGCTGATTTTCCCTATGGGAAAGCATTGGATTGGCTGAAATCGGCAAGGAGGTAGCAAGGGTAGGGGGGCCAAATGCCGTTTTAACCAATCAGCACCTCCTCATAGCGATGCATTGAATCAATAGCGTCTTCATTGTGGATTCTCAGAACAAAATCTCACAGTGCCAAATATTTCTTCTTATTATTATTTATTACTTATCCGGTAAGTCTTGGCCAGACGTGACACATATTGGTCACCCTTGTTTTACCCCTCCTGGGATCACAAATGAGAGATTCAGTCAGTGTCATTTTATAATTCTTAAATATATGTATGACATGTTTATGTTAAGTAGTATGTCATACTGAAAATTTCATCCTGAATTAATGGTCTTGGTACATCCTAAGGAGTTTAAAGGTTTCTCTAAGCAATATAACAACTTTGCATTATTAGAGTACCCTGCAGTGACTCTCAGCTCTGAGACTGTTGTGTAACTGCAGTGATTTATAAAAATTGATACAGCTACATGGCACCCACTGAGCTGTCCCTGTCAATCAGTGATCGAGAATTCTATCTTCCGAGTTGCCTTTGATAATTTTGTTGTGCATGTGACCTGTGCACATTGGTCTCTGGACTTGGACTCCTCGGAGAGTGAGTTGAACTGTGGATACTAATCTGTGTGGATGGCAGGCCTGCCAATCACCTCCCAAAATTGTGAACAGGGCTGTGTGTAAACTGATAGCACCTATGGTATGGTTGCTACCAGTATACAGAGCAATACCACTCATTCTGTTCTGTTGGAAGACAAACTGCTTATCCGGAAAGCCTCTAGGATGAAGAGGGTTTTCGGATATAAAATCAGACCTCATAAACCAGAATGAGGCTACTGATCTTGTAGCCACCTCCTGAAGCTGCAGTCAACTTATATAAGATGTGCAGCCTCGAGATATTGGAAGGTGTTTTTATTTATTTATTTTTGCCTTTTTTTATTGCACTATTGAAATAATTTATTAGAAAATAGGCGATTTTTACCCTATCGTTTTCCTTGTGTTAACCTCTACAACGTCAGCCTTCCAACTGAAGTGGTAGTGGTTAACACGGTGAGGAAGTTTAAGCATGCGTGGGATAGGCATAAGGCTATAGATATAAGAGACTAATGAAAGTATTTTAAAAATTGGGCAGAATAGATGTTTCTATGTTTCTTTAATGTAAAAGACCTGAACTGGTTTCAAATCTTTCCAACTATCACGTAATAATAAATCTCCCTCCACTCACGTAATGTATGTAAATGATCATGTCCCCAGTTTCAGCTTGCATAACACTGGTACGATTACTAAACTATTAGAAATATGCTGTATAATACTTTTTGTCTCGTTACAGATTTTCCAATCAGAAAACCCTTTTGATTTCATGGAGAACATTTCACTGGAAGGGAAAACCAATTTCTTTGAGAAGAGAGTGTCGGAGTACCAGAGGTTTGGTGTCATGACCCGTACCATAGACAACGTATTCACGCTCGATGCAGATTTTTAGTTGTTTTGATCTGTGGACATAAATCAAAATGATTTTGTGGAATTAGTGCTTCTTGATAACTGGGAAGAATGTTGGGAAATGTGACTCCAAAGGTGTGATCACTATGACTTCCTGGGTCCGAGTTTAATGTAGAATGCTTCTAGCCACATTTCTAATATCAAGAGGCAAATGGTCTTTAATTTGCAAACAACGTAAATCGTCAAATGCAAGTCGGCTCACAGAAAACTCTTCCGTCCTCTGTTAAAGACACTCCACCTCTCTCCCTTTGAAATCACTTCTACTCTGGATTATGAATGTGTCACACAAAGCCTCTGTGCTGCGATGTATTTGACGTGGGTGGATGTGACTAAGCACTGCACACCCAGGAGAATATTATGATGTTAGACTTTGATGTCTGTCCTAGCTGAGCAAACATTGCTCTTTAGGGATAATCCTCTGAATCACTGGTTGTTCCACTTGGGTTTTCCAAGATGACGCTAGCATCCTTCACTGCTAGTGAGTGGCAGCAAACCTAGGAGATAAATGTCAAAAACATGTTATGTTCCTTCTAAGGTGTGCAGACTAGCACTAAAACTGTTAAAATAGGCCTCAAATTGTAAGGTTGCTTTAAGGATTTTCGTTTTTTAGGATGTAGTTTTTTTTTAACAATTTGAGTGCCAGGCAGCTCACCTATGAAGGAACACTGAATACAATCATAAATCTGAATTTCTGGACGTTCAACCGTTTACGCAGTGACGTGCACTCAGCAATCCAGAGATAATCACGTAGTTCTGACTTCATTATTTCATTACATGACTCTCCAGTGGGGTCTTTTATTTATTTGTATTTATTTTTCAAGCATACCCTTAATTAATGTGAATCCTAAGATATCACATGGCGAACCTCTGCTGAGGAAGAATTTTAAAGAGACACTCTAAACACCATAACCACTTCCGCTTATTGAAGTATTTATGGTATTAGGATACCATCTGTATCATCAATTTCTTTATGAATATATTTTTTGATCATAATTGAACCGTATAGTATTTTAGCCTAAGTGTGCCTAACAACTAAACCTGACCCTGAATATTTTTTTTTATTAAACATATCAATCTTGACTTAGCTAAGCTTTGAAAAAGAGTGTTTAACAATAAGAGATTTGCAGTAATAGGTCAGATCCTGAAAAATAGTTGTAGATTACAGGAGCGAAAGATGCTAATTCAGGAGCCATTTAGTGAAAAAGATCTATTTGAAACACAAAAATAAGAGGTGCGATGTATAGAGCTCCCCTGCGTATCTATTGCTGTTGAATCTTGAATAAATTTGTTAAAGTGAAACTTTTATTTACAACAAAGGTCAGATTTAAGCTAAGTATTAAGTCAAGTATTAATAATAACCTATGCCTTGTACTTGCAAGATCATCAGAAAATATACAGATTGGAAGATACACTTTTCTCCTGCATATTACAATGCTTAAACATATGAGTACATGCAATATTTTGTGGAATGCCTAATTTGCCAATTAGGGTAGACATATTCTGTAGTGATCATATTTGCAGTTGCAGAGAGATGTGGGGGTCATGAAATTAGGAGTGCAGCCCTCCTGCCCCCATGGTAAGTAGTTGAACTAATTGCAAAGAGTTTGACAACTGACCCGGGGTTTGCCAGACACTGATCACAGACTATAACCGTTTGGTTACAGATCTAAAAACATGTTTGATGTTAGTTTACTTTTGTTTTGCATAAGTATGCTTGCTACTATATCAGTAGGTAACGCTACAGTTGTAGAAATGGTTTCATTTTGTATAAATGGCATCACATTTTTTTTAACTTAAGTGAATCTTTAAATATATTTATTGAGAATTTCATGTTTGGTATTAAAATATAAACTGAGGTTTATTCACTAAACATAGAATTGGGGAGAAAGGCACAAACACCTCAGACCTGCTTGTAACATTTATATGCACTGCAAAAAAAAAAGAAAGAAATGGCACGAAGAGTGCATAAGTCGATGAAATGGAAAAGTATTTTAATATATTTTAAAGGAAGACAATAGGATCTGGAACACAAACATGTATTCCTGACCCTATAGCGTTTGATCCATTTAGGTGGATCCCTCCACCCCCTTAGCCCTTAAACTTACATTCTTTACAGTGCCGCATAGGTCCGCCGGCACTGGCCCTGCCCCTGATCCACCTCCTTGGTGACATAATCAAAATTGCAGCTTTTTAGCCAATCCAATGCTTTCCCATAGGGAAAGGAGGCGGGATGGGGCAAGGCCAAATGCTATTTTGGTCAATCAGCACCTCCTCATAGAGATGCATTGAATCAATGCATTTCTATGAGGAAAATTGAGCATGGAGTTGCTGAACGGCAGTGCTGCCTACTGTGCAGCACTGAGCCAGGAAGCACCTCCAGTGGCCATCTGAGGAGTGGCCACTAGAGGTGTCCCTAGAGGGTAATGTAAACACTGCCTTTTCTATGAAAGGCAGTGTTTGCATGAAAATGCCTTAAGGGAGTGATTATACTCACCAGAACAACTACATTAAGCTGTAGTTGTTCTGGTGACTATAGTGTCCCTTTAATTTTAATACATTGCTGATTCTCCTCGATTCTAGCTTTACACACTCCTGTGTTTAAAGTTTTTTAGATGGAGTTTTCTGAATTAGATATTTATAAACTCTCAGTGTTATTCACTAAAGTATCAATTGTCAGGAATTCATAGTAATCTCAAAGTGAATTGCAAATTTTAGGCCAGAACAGTTGAACTGCAAAATAGATGGCTAGGAGAATTCTCCTAGTTCGGCTACTTTGGTCTAGTATTTGACATTCATTTAGAATTCTTGATTATTCTCCCTGTATTGCATTATTGTTAGGTAGTGGTGTTCAGCATGGTATTCACGGTTCTGCTCTGTACTTCTTCCCTTCTCTGCTCTGGTCAATTTTCAGTTCCCCACAATTCACTGTTTAGTACATAAACCATTGTGTTTTAACATGTTTTGTTCAATATGTTGCCATTTTAATTTTTTTTAAATAATAGGATTAATGCTAATCTTATAAGAAGTTGAAAAGGACATTTGATAGTCCTGAGGGGCTTTTATATTTTCGAGAAATATGTGACTTGATTTAGAAACCTAGCAGTGCACTAGCTGTGTATTCTGAGCTGCCAAATAAATAATATATTTATTGAAAAGGTTTCTGAATGACTGTTTAATTGACTCATACTTTTTGTGGATCTTCTAAGGAAAAACACTTCAAACCAGGTTACAGGGCTGCTTCTAGGTTATAAAACCTACCAGGACTTAAGCCCAAATCAAAATGTCATAACCTTCCTTCAAAGTTCGATCTAAGGCCAATAACCAATGTTAGTATCCTTTAACCTAATCCTGTCTGTCTGTCCTCCTACCTCCCCTCACCTTGTGCTCCACTACTTATTATTCTGGTAGCATTTCTATTTGGATTGGCTTGCATTCTGCTGCTTGGGTTAGCAGATGTCCAATATGAAAAGTTAAAGTACAGCTGTGGGAGCCTTTTTGAAACTAGACCTTTGACTTATCTTTCTGAACTCCCAGTGGGATTGGACAAACGGGACCTGCACAGAAGCTACGATACGTGCTGCTGTTCTTTTGGGCATAGCCCACTTCTGGAAAATATCACTAGACTTGTATATTCAAATTCCATTTGTCCAAAGCACCATATGGCGTTTAACTGAACAACAACTAACACGCTGGCTTAAAGTGTTTGTTTGACTTAGTATTCAGAGTTTCATCCATTGCGTCAAAATAAAGAGCTGATAGGAAAAACGATGATTGATGGATAAGAGAGGGCCAATAATTGTTGACTTTATTCAAAGTTTTTATTCATAGAAAATAAACATATATGGAGCCACAGTAGTGAAATACAGCTTTAAAATATAAAAATATTCATTAGATTGTACTTAGAAGGGAATAAAAACACAAACGTACAGGCGTATAACAGACCTCTTGACAGAGACAGTCTTATCCCGTCAGCTGCAGCTTGCGATAAGTAGCTGCTATGTAGATGAAGTGAGAGTCGATCCATGATGTACGACCGCAATACAAAGATAAGAACATATGTAGAATCCAAAGAAAACTATAAATATCCTATGCATTTCATTGATAAAGACGATTGTCATATATACTAGTGTATATATATGATCTCTTTAGTTTAGGTGTCAGAAAACACAGTGCATCGCAGTTTGCCGCGTATGGGGCTCCATAGCCACTGACCGGTCAGAGTGTCCATGATGACCACTGTCCACTGCTGAAAGCTCCTTGAATGGGTACGTGAGTGTCAAAACTGGACCACGGTGCAATGGAAGAAGGTTCTGAGGAAGCCGGCGAAACGCATCATCACGCTCTGCCGTTACATGTACGCACGCAGCTTTAGCCATGCCCCCTGAAACGATCAGAGTATACACACTTGAACCCACAGCCGGCGGTGGAAAGTTTTTAGGAGGAACTCTATCGGAGGGGTAAAATAAAGAGGCATAGAGGAAACTAACAGCTTGCTGCTTTTTAATCTGATGTATCAATAAAGATTGGATGTACACTTTTACCACAGCTGAGTCCACAGTGATACTTCTTGGAGCCATAACAGTTAGAGCAGGTTCCTCTGCTCTTCACTTGTGAGTGTTTCCCTTCATATGGCCATAACTATATTATACTTTACAATATTGCTCTATATGCTTATTTCTTTTTTTTCTTACATGATTTTCCTCAACTTGGAGCAATCTAATATTATTTTAAACATCTTTGGTTGTACTTATATGTAAGTAAAGTGTGGAACCTTACACTATTAGTAGCACTTTATAATATATATGTATGGGTTCTTTTGGCACTACTGCACAAGAGCTCTCTGCACATAAGTATATATGCACTTTAGTTGTATTTTATTGCACATATCTTATTTTATATAATTTCTATTATTGAGGCAATAGGGTGTAGGGTACAGAAAAGAAAGGGAGGGTGCAATAATAGACAAATATTACTTTGACAGTATTACGTCATGCACATGGAAGTTAAGAGCCTCTTTTAACTTTTTTGTTTGTAGAAAACAAGCTAGTTAAGGTGAATTGGTCGCGTGGGTGTTGGACCTGGCGGGCGTGGACTCACCAACTGCTAGGTATTAGTGTTATCGCTCGGGTAGCAGTATTAAGGGGGGGGGGGAGGGTGCGTACGCCCTTAGATTATAGAGTGGGACATCTGTGTAGCGTTAGGGAAGTGCACAGTTATATGCAGGGTGGAAAAAAATGAAAAATTTTAAATGCTATATTTGACCATGTAACTTCCTAAAATACCATAAAACCTGTACATAGAGGGTTTACACATGAGACATCGCTGAATACAAATATGTGTATTTTATTGCAGTAAAAGCAAAGAGTATTTTGACATTCACAGTTAAAATATCATGCAGAACTAAAAAAATAACAACATTTCTTAATTTCTCACATTACTTTATATTTTATTCATATTAAATTAAGAGGTTAAAAGCCAGTTACACCAAAGTTGACAATAACATGTATTGGACACCAGGAGGTGCTGTTGGGACATGTTACCTGCTGAGAATAATCAGAATTCCATTGAAAGGAGTGTTGTGTTAGAACTGTTTGTTTATTATTTGAATATCATAGGGAAATAAATCAAATACAAATAACGTCATCACTAACATCAACTATATTCATTTATTTTATTTCCTGTACCTGGCATTATTAGCACTGAGAATACACATTTAATACATGTAACCTGTTCTTATTATAGATCCATTTCACTGTCTGGTCCTCTCAGTACGGAAGCTTTCAGTTTGCAGGAAGAGACCACATTCTTACTTTATTTTGTTTATTTTCAGCTAGCGGTCATGTTTAACGAGTACCAGTGACCAATGTGTATTAAACTAATTAGAGCATGCGGTTTATTCACTAAACTAAAATAGGTCTATATTATTATTATTATTATTTATATAGCACCAACAAATTCCATAGCGCTGTACAATAGGTGGACCAACAAACATGTAATTGCAACAAAACGAGTTGGACGCACAGGAACAGAGGGTGTTGACGGTCCTAGTCAAGCTAGCGTACATTTTAGAGGGAGTGGGGAAAGTGACGCGAGGTGAGGGTACAATGTATTTCATGGATGGGAAAAACTGGCTTACTGGAATAGTTTACAGTAAAGGCTTAATTTTTTGGATGACACAGTTGCAGGAGAGGAAACAAGGTGGGTTACAACGGAAAGCTATTAACAGTTTATAGCTTTCCTTAAGAAGTAAAGTTTTCAATGATCTTTTGCCCTAGATGTGGAATACTCCTGGGTTCCCATCCGATAATAATCACCTTGAGTAATCACTAAAAAGCATAGTTATCCTCAAAAAAAGCATTGTGGGTTACTAGAGGATTAGATCTGAGATTGTCCTTTAGCAACCCATTGCACAGCTCCGCTCAACATCTTTCCCCAGTTTAGATTCTCCATCCCGGAGCTCATTGAAGTTAAAAGGGCATGGCAATGGACAATAGGAGCCATTTGCAGAATATGGTAGTGTATTGAAAGTGTGTTTTTCAGTTTTTCCTGTTCTTGGTAATAATATTGTATATGTTCCCGTGTCTGGAACCTTCCCCATCCCTGCTATTATAATACCCTGGAATCGACAGTCAAGTGTACTGCGTAAAAAGAGGACATTGGTACCTCTTGTGACCAAAAATAAGGGTACATTATAACGCACCTTCATTTGATTAACCAATCAACATAAGTAGCAGCATTTCTGCTGAAATAATTTACGCTCACAAGTGATATTTACTATAATGTGTCACAGTCTGGCTTTCGAGCATCGCTGAGTTCAGTCAGCAGATCTGCGTCCATGGTGTAAGTGCTAAGAAAGCGTAATGCTCGGAAAATAGCGGTCGAATAAATCCCCACAACAACAGCACGTCAGAAAATGTAATTTGTACCAGAGAGAGGTCCACAGTACTGTCAGCTCCACAGTTACACACACTGCAGCTACACAAATTGCTTTCACTTGCAGGAACGAGATTTTAACAGAGTGACGTTTCGTTAAAACACTGCGTTACTGAAGTTTGGCTCAACAGGGTAAAGGCCTGTGAACTATGGTTGCGAACTGTGACATTTCATCACTGCTTTAAACAATAAATAGTAAAAAAAAAAAAGATGTGTTATGGTTAGTGAGCCCTTAGAGAAAGTTGATCGGCTGTCTCCATGCATTAAATCAATAGGTTTCTAAAATGTGAGGTCACCAGGGAGTACCTTTAATACTAGAAGAGACAGGGCAGACGGCCTCTCTTGTTCCTCCATGCTTATATGGAGAGTAATATAAATGGGAGCCAGGAGATGCCCAGTTCCCTGACCACTAAGGAGTTTACTCCCTTACAGAGTTAACAAGTGCAGTGCTAGAAGGGGCCAGGAGATAACCAGCACTGATAATGCTGTTAATCTTACTGATGGTGCTCACCTAGTTCCCCAAAGCATAGCATTCCCATCTCACTAAGCATAACATTTCCATTTCCATGAGCCCAGGAAACTGCAGTGCCATTAAGTGAATACCAAATTACATCGCGGTGTGTATGGTTTCCTAAGGCTTATGCTTCAGACTGGAATCTTTAATAATTGGTGTCAGAGCAGTCAGTGAATAGCATTTTTTGCTTGAAAGGACACTGTACAGTAAGCATCAAACCCATTACATCTTAATGACCCTATCCCTGTAGTCAAGCAAATGTGAACCTTGCTTTTTCGGGAAATTGCAATGTTTACGTTCGTCAATCAGATTAAGAGCGGCTGCAACACCGGGACCAGGATGGCTCTGGAGTAAAAGTGACTTTAACAGCCTTATTTTTCTTTACTGGACTGAGCAATAATAATATAAATGAGCACTTTAACTTTATAAAGAATACACACACACACACATATATATTGTACAGCGCTACGGAATTTGTTGGCGCTATATAAATAATATAATAATAATAATAATATGTATATAACATTAGCAAAGAGGCGCTCTAATGCAATAAAAAAATATATATATATAATGTTAGATTTCCCTTTAACACCAAATTTCCAACATTGGGCTTACCTTTTACTTATTATTATTATTATTATTATTATTGGTATTATTGGTATTTATATAGTGCCAACTAATTCCGCAGGGCTTTACAATATTCTGAAAGGGG